TTCTTTATATTTAATTATTGATAGTTTGATTATGTATCTTGGCATGTTTCTCCTTGGATTTATCCTGTATGGGACTCTCTGTGCTTCCTGGACTTGATTGACTGTCTCCTTTCCCATATTAGGGATGTTTTCAACTATAATCTCTTCAAATATTTTCTCTGTCCCTCTTTTTTCTCTTCTTCTTCTGGGACACCTATAATTCGAATGTTGATGCATTTAATGTTGTTCCAGAGGTCTCTGAGACTGTCCTCAATTCTTTGCATTCTTTTTTCTTTATTCTGCTCTGCAGTAGTTATTTGCACTATTTTATCTTCCAGGTCACTTATCCGTTCTTCTGCGTCAGTTATTCTGCTATTGATATCCTTCTAGAGAATTTTTAATTCCATTTATTGTGTTGTTCATCGTTGTTTGTTAGCTCTTTAGTTCTTCTAGGTCCTTGTTAAACGTTTCTTGTATTTTCTCCATTCTGTTTCCAAGATTTTGAATAATCTTAACTATCATTACTCTGAATTCTTTTTCAGGTAGACTGCCTATTTCCTCTTCATTTGTTTGGTCTGGTGGGTGTTTACTTTGCTTCTTCATCTGCTGTGTATTTCTCTGTCTTCTCATTTTGCTTAACTTACTGTGTTTGGGGTCTCCTTTTTGCAGGCTGCAGGTTCATCGTTCTCTTTGTTTTTGGTGTCTGCCCCCAGTGGGTAAGGATGGTTCAGTGGGTTGTGTAACACGGCTTCCTTGTGGAGGGGACTGGTGCCTGTGTTCTGGTGGATGAGGTTGGATCTTGTCTTTCTGGTAGGCAGGACCACGTCCGGTGGTGTGTTTTGGGGTGTCTGTGAACTTACTGTGGTTTTAGCAGCCTCTCTGATAATGAGTGGGGTTGTGTTCCTGTCTTGCTAGTTGTTTGGCATAGGATGTCCAGCAGTGTAGCTTGCTGGTCGTTGAGTGGTGCTGGGTCTTAACGTTGAGATGGAGATCTTTGGGAGAGCTTTCACCATTTGATATTGCGTGGGGCCAGGAGATCTCTGGTGGACCAATGTCCTGAACTTGCCTCTCCCACCTCAGAGGCACAGCCCTGATGCCTGGCTGGAGCACCAAGAGCCTGGCATCCACACGGCTCAGAAGAGGAGGGAGGGAGGGAGGGAGGAAGGAAGGAAGGGAGTGGGGGGAGGGAGGGAGGGAAGAAAGAATAAAATAAAGTTATTAAAGTAAAAAACATATTATTAAAAATAAAAAAGTAATTCAAAAAAAGAAAGAAGAGAGCAACCAAACGAAAAAACAAATCCACCAGTGATAACAAGTGCTAAAAACTATAGTAAAAAACAAAGAAAGAAAACGGATAGACAGAACCCTAGGACAAATGGTAAAGGCTAAGCTATACAGACAAAATCACAGAAAGAAGCATACACATACACACTCACAAAAGGAGAAAAAGGAAAAATATATATTTTTTTGTAAAAAAAGGAAGAGAGCAACCAAATCAATAAACAAATCTATCAATGATAATAAGCTCTATATACTAAACTAATATAAACATAAAACCACAAACAGATGCAGAAAGCAAACGCCAAGTCTACAGTTGTTCCCAAAGTCCACCCCCTCAATTTTGGGATGATTCGTTGTCTATTCAGGTATTCCACAGATGCAGGGTACATCAGGTTGACTGTGGAGATTTAATCCACTGCTCCTGAGGCTGCTGGGAGAGATTTCCCTTTCTCTTCTTTGTTCGCACAGCTCCTGTGGTTCAGCTTTGGATTTGGCCCCGCCTCTGCGTGTAGGTTGTCTGAGGGCGTCTGTTCTTCGCTCAGACAGGATGGGGTTAAAGGAGCAGCTGACTCGGGGACTCTGGCTCACTCAGGCCGGGGGGAGGGAGGGGTGCGGATGCGCGGCGAGCCTTCATTGGCAGAGGCCGGCGTGACGTTGCAACAGCCTGACGCGCGGTGTGCGTTCTCCTGGGGAAGTTGTCCCTGGATCATGGGACCCTGGCAGTGGCAGCTGCACAGGCTCCAGGAGGGAAGGTGTGGATAGTGACCTGTGCTTGCACACAGGCTTCTTGGTGGCTGCAGCAGCAGTCTTAGCGTTTCATGCCCGTCTCTGGTGTCCGCACAGGTAGCCGCGGCTCACGCCCGTCTCTGGAGCTCGTTTAGGCGGTGCTCTGAATCCCCTCTCCTCGCGCATCCCGAAAGCATGGTCTCTTGCCTCTTAGGCAGGTCCAGACTTTTTCTCGGACTCCCTCCCAGCTAGCTGTGGCACTCTAGCCCCCCTCAGGCTGTGTTCACACAGCCAACCCCAGTCCTCTCCCTGGGATCGGACCGAAGCCCGAGCCTCAGCTCCCAGCCCCCGCCCAACCCTGGCAAGTGAGCAAACAAGCCTCTTGGGCTGGTGAGTGCTGGTTGGCACTGATTCTCCATGCAGGAATCCCTCCGCTTTGCCCTCTGCACCCCTGTTGCTGAGCTCTCCTCTGTGGCTCCAAAGCTTCCCTCCCGCCCACCCCGCGTCTCCGCCAGTGAAGGGGCTGCCTAGTGTGTGGAAACTTTTCCTCCTTCACAGCTCCCTCCCAGAGGTGCAGGTCCCGTCCCTATTCTTTTGTCTTTTTTTTTTTTTTTCTTTTTTCTTTTGCCCTACCCAGGTACGTGGGGAGTTTCTTGCCTTTTGGGAAGTCTGAGGTCTTCTGCTAGCGTTCAGTAGGTGTTCTGTAGGAGCTGTTCCTCATGTAGATGTATTTTTTATGTATTTGTGGGGAGGAAGGTGATCTCCACGTCTTACTCCTCCCCCATCTTGAAGCTATCAGGGTATCAGAGGACCATACAGTCTCTGTCACAACTACTCAACTCTGCCTTTACAGAGTGAAAGCAGCCATAGGCTAACAGATGCATGTGGCTGTGTTCTGATAAAACTGTTTATAAGAAGAGACATGGGCTATTAGTTTGTTGACCCGTGTTCTAGAGAAATAAGACTTAACAAATGAAACAAGGTATGAATATGTCAAGAATCAGTACAGGTCTTCTGGGAAATGGATTATCAATAGGATTTAGGTTAGTTAAAAACTTCCATTTATAACCCCAGACGTTACACTTAAAAGTCTCAGTGTTGAAATTGTTCTGCTCAGATATTTTATAATAAAACTCTCAGCTACTAGGAACCACCAAAAATAAACATTTCTAGATCCATAAAAGCACTTTAATAGAGAGCACCCTAAAATATACTATTCCTTGCCTTCTTAAAAACAGTCTATAAGGGCTTCCCTGGTGGCGCAGTGGTTGAGAGTCCACCTGCCGATGCAGGGGACGTGGGTTCGTGCCCCGGTCCGGGAAGATCCCGCATGCCGTGGAGCGGCTGGGGCCCGTGGGCCATGGCCGCTGGGCTTGTGTGTCCAGAGCCCGTGCTCCGTGGCGGGAGAGGCCACAGCAATGAGAGGCCCGCATACCGCAAAAAAAACCAAAAATAGTATATAAAAAAATAATCTTTTTTTCAAAAAGGAAACCTTTTTTATTACATCTTCTGACTTCGTGGGTCAGGAATTTGGGCAGGGCTCAGATGGGTGATTCTTATGCTCCACATGGTGTCAACTGGGGTCCGTCACTAAGTACTTTTCACCTGTTCTGTAAGGTCCAAGATGGCTTCAATGACATGTCTGGTTTTTGGCAGAGGCAGATGGAAGGCTAGGCTCAGCTGGGACTGTGGACTAGAGGTCCTACACCTGGCTCCTCTAGCATGCTAAGCATTTTTTAAAATTGATATGACTTTGTCATTAAACATCTCAGTTCCAGTAGTACTGTGATTCCGTCAGCCTTTGCTGAGGTTTGTGGGGCTGTTGCTTGCACTCCCCAGCCCGCTGTCTTTCAGTCTGCTTTTTTCTTTTTGGGTTTCATAAGCCAGTTCTTAGCTGTGGTCTGGAGCAATGCATTTGCTGGGTAGGTGACATCTTCCTATAGTGGTCACTTAATTTGCCGTGTGAAGGTACCCTTCTGGGCACAGCTAGATGATATTTAAGAAACTTAAAATACTCCTTACAAGAAGAAGCAAATTCCTGCAATATGCAACAACATGGATGAACCTGGAGGACATGATACTGAGTGAATTAAGCCAATCATAGAAGGACAAATACTGTATGATTCCACTCATATGAGGAATCTAAAATAGTCGAACTCATAGAAGCAGAGAGTAGAATGGTTGGGAGTGGGGGAAATGGGGAGTTGCTACCCAGTGGGTAAAAAGCTTAATTACGCAGGATGAATAAGTTCTGGAGATCTGCTGTACGACGTCATGCCTATAGTTTACAGTGCTGTACTGTACACTTAACAGTTTGTTAAAAGATTATATGTCATGTTAAGTATTCTTACCACAATTAAAAAAAAATATGACTTAGGAGCTATTAACACCATTTGAAAAAAGCAGTAAAATATCAGAACTTAAAGTGTTTCTCTTCTGCTTATTTTACTGCTTATTTTCTCTTCCCCATATTCTTGATAAAACAGTAAATGTTGGGAGGACAGAATATAGGGACAGGCCAGGGACTAGAAAGGGATAAGTTCAGTGGTGATTCTAGTTCGAAGAGGGGCTGGTAAGACTTGACTTGAAGGTGTGTTTGCACAATAACCACCCTAGTTTTGTTTTAATGATGTTTACTTGGAGTAACTTATGATGGAGAGGCTAAAGCTCCTCAAGCTATGCTTTGTACAACTATGCAGGATTAGGGGGTCATGTACACCCCACCCCACCTGCCATTCTCCCACTTGACCAGTCCTTGGAGTCTCTGGAATGGCCTTTTCATTTACTTATATTTCCCGTCGCCTGTTGACAGTTACAGCTCCAAGATGATATTTTTTTAGCCTGGATGTCTTTGTATCTTTTTAACATACTTACATTAAATAAAGCTCTCTGACCCTTTACTGGAGATGGGGTAATAGTACCTACCTCAAAGTTTGTGGAAGTGCTGTAAAGTGCTCAGAAAACATCAGCTATTATTGTCATCTGATAACCATCTTCCAAACTTCCTGTTTCAGAAACTGATTCAGCAGTACAGAAAGAACATAGAAACCAGACACCTGCTCCATCTGCAGCTCAAACTTCCGCTCCTTCTAAGTACCACCGAAGTCGATCTGGGGGAGCCAGGGATGAACGATACCGATCAGGTGAGAGGGAACTGAAAATTACCAGTGGAACAGTTTTTACTAACTGTAGTGTGAACTGTATATCCTGAGATATATGTTTGTTTTATTTTTTTTCCCTTGAAGTGCCAACAGGTGTATATTAACTAGTACCTGTTACGTGCCAGGTGTAGTAGATACTCTTATTTGCTGGGGATACAGGCCCAAATAAGACATTTCTGCCCTCAAGGGCAGAAGAGGAGCCAGGCAAGTACAAAGGCACTGTGAATAAATAAGAAGGCAGAGGGCTAGGGTCTCATGGGATGGTACTGGGAGAACTCAGTAGGCTCTGTTTGAAGAGACAGGTCCTTCTGTGTTTGCCAGAGCTGTTGATTAGTCTCTTGACTGAGGGAGCTGGAACAAAAACTCAACAGTGAAATTTCAGATTGGTAAATTCTTAAACTTTATTCCTTCTCACCCAGGAAAAACCCATGGGAAAGGAAAAGGTGATGTGCTGTGGCTGGCAGTGGGGGCATGCTTCTGCCACACCATGTCCAGCACTGATGAGCAAAAATGAATCATAGACCCTCAGGGGGACATGTGGCATAGTGAGCTCATCCCATGCCCACCTACTGTCCACTGCACTAGGATAGTCTCCGCAGCATGTTTATTGTTTTAAGAACTAGCAGAATTAAGCCAGAAGACTAACTGGAATGTTATTTTACTTTCTCCAGATTTTTGTCTCCCTTATTATACCAGCCAAGGTTACCTAATCCTTTTCTTGAATTGAAAAACAGGGTGTATATCAACCCTCTCAGAAACTGCTTTAGAGGATGGTTATTTTGTGAGCTGATATTATTAGGTATATATTTTCAGACACTGGAAGGAAGGAGGGAATGAGAAGTGTTCAATCAGAAAGATAGAGGTTGCATGCCACAACAGAATTTCCCCTTGTACCAAACCTGGTGTTGAGTGATCAGAGGAGGCTTTCTCAGAGAATAAAACATCTGAACGATGTCATGGCAGCCAGACAGAGTTAGGGAAATAGCATCAGATAGTAAACCTGAAAGTAGTTCATTATGACTGAAACTTAGAAAGCAAGGGCCCAGAACGAGATGGGAGATCAGGCTAGAAAGATGATCAGAGACCAAATCTTGAGGAATCTTGAATACCACTGAAGGATTTTCAGCAGAGCAGTAACACAGATTTGTAATCTGTTCTAGTAACTTGCGCCAGCTGCACAGGGCCTAACATACATAAGAGGTAAATAAATATTTTGGAGAAAGGAAGGAAAAAAAGTAGTATTAGTTAGGGAATGGATTAGAGGGAGGTAAGGCTAGATTTGGAAAAACATATCAGGAGCTCCTGTTTGTCACCAAGACCCCAGCCCGATTTCCCAGCACCTGGTGTTGCTTTTAGAGGCTGGGGCTCAGGTGCTGCAGCAGCAGCAGGTTCTAACCAGTCCAGGAGGGCTCTAGCCTCTACAGCTGTCATCCCTGGCCTTCTGGGAAGATTTTTGTTTTTTGTTTTAACTTTGACTTTCTCTTTGGTTTTACAGCAGATAACAAAAGGATTAGTAAGGAACACCAAAGAGGATTCTCTACACTCTATGTCCAAGCTGATCACATAGAGAAAAAAGGCTTTAGCCAGCTGATTCAATAGTGTAAAACTTTGATGTACACCTACCAAAACCAAAAACTATCCTTTTTTTCTTTAATATCCTTATTTATTTATTTGTTTGTTTATTTATTTATTTATTTATGGCTGCGTAGGGTCTTTGTTCCTGCGTGCAGGCTTTCTCTAGTTGTGGCGAGCGGGGGCTACTCTTTGTTGCAGTGCACGGGCTTCTCATTGTGGTGGCTTCTCTCTTGCGGAGCACGGACTCTAGGCATGCGGGCTTCGGTAGTTGTGGCTTATGGGCTCTAGAGCACGGGCTCAGTAGTTGTGACGCACAGGCTTAGTTGCTCCACGGCATGTGGGATCTTCCCAGACCAGGGATCGAACCCATGTTCCCTGCATTGGCAGGCGGATTCTTAACCACTGCGCCACCAGGGAAGCCCCAACTATCTTTTATACCAATTCTTTCAGATTTACCCCCAATATTAGAAAGTATAGTCTGTGAATCAAACACTGGTTAGCAGACTGTGGTTAAGTGCAGGGGTATTGAAGAGGGTTTAATAGTTGGGTCTCGGATATTTGTCTCACTAGCACTTTTTTTTTTTAGGGTAGTAGCGAGAAGGCCAGAGAGGAGGTAAAGTAGGGAACAGAGGTGATTTTAAAACCCTGAAGATATTGAAAGTTATGAGAGTTCTGCAATACTGTCATGAGAGGGGAACATGAAAGAGGAGGCCTGCAAGCATGAATTTTGGCTAAAAATCACATTTTTCCATGTTAGGGTGTGCCCAACTAAATAACAAAGCAAAGCTGAGCACACGCCGAGAATTCTGGCATCGGTGAGTAAGAAGAAACCAACAGTAGCCGCAGAAGTAGAGCAAATAAGTTGTAGAAATCTGTGGGACTGGAACTTCGCCTCTTTGCCACTACATTCATAGGAAGGGCTACGTTTACACGTCACATGCAAAAATAGCTTAAGAATGGAGGGTATGTTTAGAAAAAATTACAAGCATTCAGATTAAAGTGATGGGTACACAGAAAGGATTTAATATTGATTTCAGTGAGTGTAACTTGAAAATCCTCTCTTACTTGGTGGAGGCTTATTAATACCTACAACGTTTCAACTAATCATAATCAAATCTAAATAGGCTTAGTGTTTCATGTTTCAGACATGGTGTAAAGAGGTTTTATTTATTCAGAGTTTAGATTATCTGCCCTTATTCTGTTCTTTGTGCTTAGCCAAGAGGGTCTGACATTTCAAATACACTAATTTAGTACCTCCTTTACCTGCCCATCAAAGCGTGATACACACATGTGTTATGGTCACAAGTGTAGAAAATACAGTCAGTGCCTGAGATGGAAGGTCGCTCTGACAACTTCTTTAATGTTAATCTTTTGAGCAATTAGCCACCTCAAACAAAACAACAAAAACAAAACAAGGGCTTTAAAGGAGCAGTTGTATCACCTTATTCAGCTCAAACGTTCGTGCTGGAAAATGAAACCCAGCTTTCTGGTGCTCCTGGCAGAGGTGTCCAAAGTCAGCCGCGTCTGGGGACTGAACTTCGGAAGTGATTTCTCTATCAGAGATCAAGATGAATTGTATACTGCTGAATGAGTCAAATCCAGTTACAAGAGCTGCCTGTTCTTATCGATAAAGAGGCTTTGCTAACACAGGAACTGTGAACATCTCCTTTTGACACACGTGTATGGGCCAGGGCTTTTCATGTTAGGAAATAAATGGGTGGTTTGATTTGTTCTGTGATCATAAGATCACAGAATCATAAGAATCCTTATGGCAGAGAACATGCTCTGTAATTATTACTTATCCAGATATCATGGGCCTTCTAAAGCTTGACTAATGTGAACAAGTCCCTAGTTTTCGCAGGTTTGGTCTTGCATGTTTCATGTCTCATGCAGCAGTACTCTTGACTAAAAAGTATGAGCATTTAATGTGCCGTCTTTCTGTTGAGAAAGTGCTTTTTCTCAGTATAAGTGATTATTCATTGGTTTTCCAAGACAGCTAAGAACCATAGTTTCATCTAATATAAGAAGGACACTTTTCACAGTTTAGCATACCTGAAAGCAGGATATCTTTTTAAACATTTTTTTTTGGCTGTGCCATGTGTGTTGTGGGATCTTAGTTCCCTGACCAGGGATTGAACATGGGCTCTCAGCAGTGAGAGCACAGAGTCCTAACCACTGGACCGCCAGGGAATTCGCTCAGGATATCTTTTTTTTTTTTTTTTTTTAATCCTGGAAGATATCTTTTATATAAGGTGGCATCATAGATTCAGTAAAATGACAATCTTGATTCAACTAAGTAAACCTCAGGGACACTAAAATAGTATAATAAATATAAATGCAGTATAAAATTATTTCATTTCAGAGGCAAATGTACGTTGGTACTGTGGCCTTAAAAGTAACAGCACAGGGCTTCCCTGGTGGCGCAGTGGTTGCGCGCCCACCTGCCAATGCAGGGGACACGGGTTCGTGCCCCGGTCTGGGAAGATCCCACATGCCGCGGAGCGGCTGGGCCCGTGAGTCATGGCCGCTGAGCCTGCGCGTCCAGAGCCTGTGCTCCGCAACGGGAGAGGCCACAGCAGTGAGAGCCCCACATATCGCAAAAAAGTAACAGCACAACAGTTTGGCACTATCTTTTAAACTTTAAGTATTCATACACTTTAACCCAGAAATTCTCCTTCTAGGAATTTGCACCTACGTATGTACACAAAAATATATATATACGAAAATGTTGGTTATCGTATTGTTCATAATAAATACAATGATTAAATAAGTTATAGTAGGTCCACACAATGGAATTCTGTGAAAGCTAGTTTAAAACTTCTGTGAAGGCTCGTGGAAAAACAATGAGGTTATTAGATTTATTTGTGCAGATATGGAGAGATGTACAAAATACATTTTTAAGTAATAAATACAAAACAGTATGTAGCATATGATCTAAATTTTGTAAATATTAATACTAATAATTACATATATTATTATGTACACAGATACAGAAATCTGGAAAAATATATACCAGACTATTGAGGTGGGATTATTTCTGGGAAGTGATGGGTCTAGGGAAAATTTCCATTGCAGCATTATATGTGTTTAGGCCTTTCCCCAATATGTATATTAATTTTTTCCAGGATTTTTGTTGTGGTGGTAAAATACAAAAGGCATATAACAAAATTTATGTATATTAATTTTAAACACAAAATAACAAAGATTGTTTTCTTTTTTTAAATCGAGTATAATTGACATATAACAAGACATTTCAGTTTCAGGTATATACTATAATGACTTAATATTTGTATGTATTGTGAAGTGATCACCACAATAGGTTTCATTAACATCTGTCGCCTTTCATAGTTACAAAAATTTCTTTTTCTTGTGATGACAACTTTTAAGACGTTCTCTTTTAGCAACTT